AAATGTTTGCATGTGCAGATTATGTGAGTTTTATTATTCAGTCACAGGCATTTGCTCAACTGAAATAGTCTTGAGGCTCAAAAGTTGTTTCCTTGAACACTATAAAAAAGTTGCAGTATAAAAAATAACTTGTTTATAAGCAATGAGGATTTTTTTTAAATTCTACAAGATATTATTTCATTTAATAGTTAACACATTTTTAGCTAAAAATAAAATATACTTTATTTAGCTAAATATTTATCAAAAATACAAATTATAATATATAATATAATATTTTTGAAATAAAATAATTTGCGATAATAGTTGAAAATTGTTGAATAAGCAGTAATAATGAACTTGCTTTGGAAATTTGTTGGCCTAAAAATTACTGTGAAATAAGTCTTCTGTATCCTTTGTTTTTCTCTCCAACTCTTTTACAGAGGTGATTCCCACTGATAAGGTTGAGGTGGGATTCAAGGATCTTGACGCTGCCATCTTGGTGGGCTCTATGCCCAGAAAAGAGGGGATGGAGAGGAAGGACCTACTGAAGGCTAACGTGGCCATTTTCAAAACCCAAGGTGAAGCACTGGAGAAGTACGCCAAGAAGACCGTCAAGGTACAAGATTGCAACAAATAATGCAGCTTGAATCAGTTTTGTGTGCAATTGATTTCTGATTCTCATGAGTTTTCTAGCCTCCGGCTTTTGATTTAGCCGACACTGCGATTAGTTCAAAGCAGGCCGAATCAATCACTGGTCAGTATTTGGTGTTTGTTGTTCTGCCGTTCACTTTTCCTTTGCTTTCATAGGTGCTAGTTGTGGGAAACCCAGCCAACACCAACTGTTTGATCGCCTCCAAATCAGCTCCCTCTATTCCTAAGGAGAACTTCTCCTGCCTGACCCGTCTGGACCATAACAGGGCCCGCTCTCAGGTCCGAACCCCACCGCCTCATTCACCTTCACTTCTTATTCTGCTTTATTGAAGTTCTCTAACTCAGTCTTTGTGCTTTCCAGAGCTGCAGGTAACCAAGCTTTTTTATCGTCCATCATCCATATCTAGCTTAGTTCTAGAGCAGCCATATTTAGTTATGTACTCTGGAGTAGTTCATAGACCAATACAGTGACCTAATTTTAGAGGGACTGTTAGCTCTCTCTGCAGGTGGCATAGTTGGCACATATTACACATAGGAGTGCTTTGCTCATCTGCGGTGTTCCTCCATGACTGTAGGTGGCGATACGTGTCGGTGTGCCCTCTGACAGTGTGAAGAATGTGATTATCTGGGGAAATCACTCCTCAACTCAGTACCCAGATGTGCACCACGCTATCGTGAACAATCATGGGAAGGAGATGTCAGGTTTTGACGCAGTGAACGATGAAAGCTGGCTGAAGGGCGACTTTATCAGCGTGAGTCCGACATCTGAACCTGTAGAGTTTCTAAACTGAGATAAAAAGGTGTTTTTTTTTGCATGAGAAAATTAGATGAAGCAGTTTGCTGTTCATTTAATCCCATTTTTTTTATGAGTTTAATTGTGATTTAATCATCCCCAAGGAAAGAACAATGAAATTACTTGGTTGGCACATTTGCCCTCAGCAGGGCTTATAATGTTATTATAAAATGGATAGTTCCTCCATTAAATTCGAATGCATGTTTGAAGCATCTGAAAAAAGCTGACGAATGCACCTAATATTAATGCATCAAGTTTTGATTAATTTCTTAGCAACCATAAACAACTGATTTGCAACAATTTTTGATTATTATTATGTATAATAAATTCAACTCTTGCTAAAGTTTGTTTTATGCCGCAAATGCAAAGATTTGTGGTAAAATCACTGTTAAAGTGCGGTCACATTTGTCGTTGTTAGGCAAGTTTCCATTGAAATCTGCACAATCTAGAATTTTGCATGAAGGCTAAATCAGATTCACCACGTTTACCAACAGAAAGGTGCTTGCTTTGAAAGTGATTTCTGTGTGAGCTGTGCCTCATTCATCTCTACGCTATTGATAGTAGACAATGGATGTTTTTTTTTACCCACAAAATTTCACTGTATTGCTCTAATTGCCCTGATATGACCACAGCTTTACACATGACCTTTTGTAGCTTATTGTTTTAATTTACCAATCTGCATTTCTTTTAATTTCGTTGTACACCAGACGGTGCAGCAGAGAGGCGCAGCTGTCATCAAGGCCAGGAAGCTCTCCAGTGCAATGTCTGCTGCCAAAGCCATCTGTGACCACATGAGGGACATCTGGTTCGGCACTCCAGATGTGAGTTTGCACCACATGAACCCTTTAGAGATTCATTGAGTGTCTGGACTGTTAGATTCTGGTTTAAAGTAGAGTGGAAGACTAAAACATTTCTCGTTTTTCCTTTGTCAAGAATACTTCGTCAAATGTCTAAGGCCTCGAAATCAGCTTGATTAACACTTTGCTGAAAATCTGCTGTACACAGTGTACCTCAGCTTGATAGTTTATACTTTTTTAGCAAGAAAAGGGCCTTTTATTTTTGTAATAAATTTCATCAAATTAGATTTTTCTGACTTATTTCATATGTCAGGTTTACAGGGTTAATGCTAAATAATTCTCTTTCCGTCTCTGAGCAGGGTGAGTGGGTGTCTATGGGTATCTACTCCACTGGTAATTCCTATGGCGTTCCTAATGACCTCATGTACTCCTTCCCTGTTATGATCAAGGTTTGTCTTCATCGCTAAGTTCTAAGTTCCTAAAAAACACTGAAATTAAATCATGAATAAAAGAAAGCACTTGGAAGTAGTTTAGATGTCATTTCTATGTGAGTACTAATAATTTCCACCCCAACAGAACAAGACCTGGAAGGTGGTTGACGGACTCGCCATCAATGATTTCTCCCGCGGTAAGATGGATGGCACCGCCGCTGAGCTGGTAGAGGAGAGAGACACCGCACTCACCTTCCTTGGAGCGTGACGTGACGTCTCCACAACAATGCGGCAGCCGTTAGACTCTTCAAAGTCCCCAAATCCCCGACTGTAAAGTCCTGTAGATATCATAGCTGACCGTGTGTGGATATTTATGCATCTTAACGTATGCGTGTGTGCGTTACTTCACAAGAAACATTTGCAATGTAACTTCCTCTGCTTGGAGTGTCTGGGGCAACACCTGAAGAACATGTCCAATTAAAACCGTTAACGCACATAGTTGTCCTGACCAAAATAATGATCATCTGTCATATAACAATAAAAGACCATGTGGGAAATTAATGTTTGTTGTGTATTTGGATTATGTTGACGTACCCATCTCATCTCCAGCTCTGAATACACAGATAGATATTCTGTAAAGGTATGAAGATCCTTCATTGTAGACAGAATGCCAGGCCTGTTTACTTGGAAGAAAAACATTGAATATCCTGACATTTTAAAATTATTATTTGAAAGCCTGAATATAAAATATGGTAAATATTTTCGTAATACTTGCCTAGTAATAAAGAAGTACTGGGAAATGATTTGTTAAGTCTGAGATCTGATTATAATGGTCATAATTATAACAAAAGGTTAGAACTATGCCATAAACATCGAAATTATGACAAGTTTTGTTAACTTAGACTTTTATGGCATAATTTCTACCGCTTCCATCTCCGTCTCGTAAATATAACCTAGTATGTCCTAATTAAAAAAGATTTTAGTCAAAATTATGATTTATCAAAGTATGATTATTTTTTCTTATGTAGCGAAAAGGGGCTTTCATGTAAACCTGTATAATTGCCATAGACTAATTAAACGCACTCTCGCTTGTTTAAAAGTAAAAAAGATAAAAGTATGGAATAAAAATAAAAGCGTATTTGTTTACAACCACAACCAAGAGATGACGCTGTTTCACACATTTACGCAGTCGAACGCCATCTGCTGGTATTTGATTGGTCGAGCCGGACCGCCCCCTCCTCTGATTGGTCCGTGAACAAAGATCATACCCACACACAGATTTCATCATGCGACACTTCCGCGCGTGACAGCGTGTGCTGCAGTGGACGTGAGTATCCTCGCATGGCTTGTCAAAAATGAGCAAGCACGCCTGTCTGCTGTCTAGATGTACTTGAGTATGATAGTTCCCCAACCCCTCAAAACCCCGCGCTATGCGCTTGTGTTTGCTTACAAGGGGTCGGTGACCTTGGAGTTCATGACCGATTTAATCCTGGGTTTCTGTGACTTTGGGCAGACAAGCAGTTAGTTAGGTCTGTACATGCATTCCCCCCTCATACATTAACTGTGTGCTGCTTTCAAACTTGACATTTAATATTGCGTTCAAAAGTGCTAGAAGAATTGCAAAGCAATCAAGTGGTGAAATGGCTAACGCTTGTGGTCAGCTGGCTTGCTGCAACGTATAATAATAACAGCTATCTAATATAACAGTCCGCATCCTAAACAGCACAGAGGAACTAATTAACGATTAAAATATTGACAACCAATCAGAATCCTTCCTGCTTTAAAGCGCTCGAGCATTTAAACCGGCAGACGGTAAAAGTATCTAAACCCTGTGTTTTTAATTAATTGGATTCGTATAGTAACGATTTAACCCACAGAAAGGTTTAGTGAACGAATCTTTTGCGTGACCAAATTTAAAAGCTTCGAGTCATGGAATCAAACATCCCCTCAGTTACAGCAGCTGGACCCAAGAACGCGTTCTACTCTCATACAGTCTGTGGTTCTACTGTATGCGAACCAGTAGCCTCATAAACTCCTTGTTTTTAATGGACCGTGTTGATTTCGTGAACCACAGTAAGGCTGAGTCCCCGACACCATACCAGAAACGGACTCAAAACGCGTTCCGTGCGAAGAGTCCAACGCGCATGACAGAAATAACGCATCTGGTGTCAGCAGCGTCCAGTTGGTGCTGTACGTGACCTAGCGATGTGAGGTGATCAATAATTCACCTGGCACATTACATACAGTGTCTACAAGAGTCCTTCGCTGTTTCTGGACATGCTGACTTTTTCCCGAGTCCGTGACGTGACGGGTGGGCAGTGCTGGACTTTGTTAAAAGACTCGTGCGCTCTTCTGCGTCTCTCTCCGCGCATGTCCTTCAGCGGTGCGTTACAACGCTCTGATCGGATGTCCTGCGCATGAATCTGTCTGGAGTCTGATCCGACTTCAAAAGAGCCGAGGCGGTACTGAGGGTTCGGTTCGTGTTCGGATGCTGGGAGCTGGTTGCACGGTTTTGAACACTAGTCTTAGTAGTTTTTATTTTTTTATGTAGTAGATCTCAGGTTCTCAAAGCGTCTTTTTGACTGCTGCCTCTACATTGAGACAGTTGTAGTTTCATCTAGTGCAAAAGTAGAAACTGTTCAACGGTATTAGGGTGGTGATTCGACCTTTCTGGACTGGGGAAATCAATTCAGGATTGATATATACTGTTTTTTAAACCTGAGAGCTGTCAGAAGTTTTTTTTTTTTTTTTTTTTAAACATGTCTGTTGTTGCTGGTAAGTGGTGTCTTCAGCCTTACAAAAAAGTACTGTTGTGGTATACAGTATACCAGTCAAAATATTGGAATAATAATTTTTTTAATGTCTCATGCTCACCAAGGCAGCATTTGTTTAAACAAAAATACAGTAAACATAGTGATATTTTCCATTTAAAATTGCAATCAATTTACATTTTTAAATTCTTTTTTAATTTTAAGTAATATTTAGAAATAGAAATATAGACATATTTCCTATTTAAATATGTTTTAGAATGTAATTTATTCCTGTGATGCAAAAGTGAAATTTCGCATTGTTACAGTGTCACATGATCCATCAGAAATCATTCTAATATGCTGATTTGCTGGTAAATTATCAATTAATATTGGTGCTCAATTATTAATAATAATAAAAGTTCAATAATAGTTCACAATATTACTCTATCTATTGTGTTTTTGATCAAATAAATGCCGCTTTGGTGAACATAAGTGATTTGTTTAAAAAATATTCTAATATTAAATATTTTCAAATATTCGAAGACATTCTAATTGTTCCAAACTTTTGACTGGTTGTTTACATGAATCATTTAAATTATACTCCAAGTCACTTCAGAAAACCTAAAACCATGGTGGAACGAAATAGTGAATGACAATAATCACCAGTTGCAATGTCATCACGGCATTTAAAGTTGTTGTCAATGTTTTCTTTCCCTGTGTTTGCATGTGTGTGTAGATCTGTATAGAAACAGCCCTAATGCAGGGATGGTGGAGTTTCAGGAGAAGCTGAAATTGCAGCATGAGAACTCCATGCACACAGAGCTGGAGAAGCTGCTGACCACTGCCAAGCCATCAGAGGCGGAGGTAAGACCCTTGTCCTGCAAACTATGTGCTCGGCTGAGGTGACAAGCACGTTCCAGTGGTGCTTCTGTCCTTGACTCCATGTACATCTAAACCCCAGCTCATGCATGTTTCCAAATATATCACTGCGCACGCGTTTATCTAGCAGAATGGGAACAAGCTGTAGGACATACAGTGCTTTAAAGTAACGTTAATCATGTGATGCTCATTTTTGTCTGGATCTATTAAATAATTCAAGAATATGTTATAAATGCAAATCATGCAGACAGTATGACAGAAGATCCCCATAACTGTATGTCATGCCCAGTATGTTTTTATTTTATTAATGAAAGAATTCATTTTTTAAAACATATTTTTACCTTGAATTTTTTTGGTTATATAATGGTTATGATGTGTGCCGCACCCTCACATGTATTCATGGTATAAGGAAAATATTTTTATACATTTTTAAAGCCATTAAATCAAATGCATTAAGTCTATTTTGAAATTAGTATGAATCTTTTTCAACAATGCATGCAACTAACATGCATAAACATGTTTATATATTGGTACATGCATTTTAAATGGGATTAAAAAAAATATCAGAAGACATTGTTTTTTGTCATTGACCCACTAATATTTGCTTACAGAACTAATTTGGAAATTAACTGAGACTGATGCACAGATTGGAAAACTTTATCATTCAGCCAAGTTTGAGTTGTTTATTCACAATGAAACTGCTGTTAAGTGAGCAGTTATGACACACGCAGCATGCAGTTAGTCTCATTAATTCGTTTTTATTCAGCAGCAAATGAAGGAGGTGTGTGTTAATTACAGCCTATCTGCCCATGATGCAGCACCATACTCTTCGGATTATTAATTATGCTTATATGCTGCACAGTGTTATACAGGAAATTAGGGATTTTGATTAATCACACTGACATGTGTTGATTCAGATTCAGCTCTAAAGCATTTAATTAATTTAATAAACCATGAACTAAAAATAAAATATTCCAGGTTTAATACAAGCTTCCCAAAATCCTCACAAATGTTTCTTTCTGGTGTGACTGATTTTGATTTGTTGATTTAAAATAGAAAAACTAGGCTATTCTTCACTATTGGCCCTGAAATAATAAACATTATATTGAACTTAAATATCCTAAAAAGGGATCAATTTACTGAAATTTGAACTGTAATGTGCTTGTTTGTGCCTCTTGCAGATCTCCAGGAAGGACTTTGAGGGCTTCAAGAAGCTCTTTCACCGTTTCCTTCAGGAGAAGGGGCCGTCTATTGACTGGGCCAAGATCCAGAGACCACCCAAAGACTCGGTGAGGCCAACGACTGCACAATACCTTATGTGACTTCTGAGTAATAAATGAGTAATGGATGAGTAATAAAGAATTTGATATTAAATAGATTTTTTTTCATATTATTACAGAAGTATTTATCTAATATTACAGCAATATTGAATCAAATTCATGAAATTATTTCTTGAAACAATCTGAACTTTTTCCTGAAGGGGGAAAAAAATATTTTTTTACTTCAAAACAAGATTATTATCAATCCCAATTTCAATGTCCTTTTTATATCATTAGCTTATAAAATATTAAAGTGCCTCTATTATGCCATTTTTAAGGTTTCTAATATTGTTTTGGGAGTCTCCTACAATAAGTGTAGATGCATGCTAGGTCAAAAAATGCTTTCCTTTTTTCAAAATATGCATTTAATATCAGCTAAATTTCCAACAATTCTCAAACGATTAGTTTGAAGCAGTTCTAAGATTCAGTCTCTCTAAACCCATCCTTTCCGTGAGCCTACTCTACTCTGATTGGTCAGATGGCCCAGTCTGTTGTGATTGGTCTACCGCGTACAGTGTGTGTCGGAAACGATACGCCCATTGCCATAGTTACGTATTTTGAACACTCAATAGAAAGAGAAAAAAAAACACAAAAAAGATTGGGGTTGTACTGCTGTGGTACAGTGGAGAAAATGAATTTTAACCACTGATTCTTTGCAGCCTCATCTTTCGGAAGTGAAAATAAAACAAATTAGCTTTCACAGTGTAGGACACAGCATCTTCTCGACATGAACAAGTGCTTGAGGGCGGGTCAAGCTGTTCACGGCCGGCCAACATAGTACATAGCATTATGCAAATGTGTTACCCGTGACGTGTAGCCATCACGGAATTGGGATTCGAATTACTGACGACTTGTTCAGGCTGTTCAGAGTTGATTCTTTATTCAGCTTACAATTTGCAGGTCGTTTACATTCACATACAGCTACATTACACACTGCATGAAAGGCAATATTCGAAATGGCATAATAGGGGCACTTTAAATATTTTATCAGGATATGAGTTGTTTGAAGGACTGAAGTAAGTCTACAATGTGCTTCGCAAACTTTCCCATCACCACATACACAAAGCCTCTGTACAGCGAGAAAACAGTCAGTGTATGTGAGGTTTATCAAGTCCATGACATTTCCCTGTTAATCCCCTCCCCAAATAACCCAAAGCCCCTCTACAAATATCCCCACACTGAAGGTTAGACTATGAATAGCACAGCACTTCCAGCATCCCACAAACTTGGCTCACATTTCTTTTTAACGAGCCGTTGAGAAACTCATGTTTCAGTACATAGTAATGCAGGACGAGTGATCTGAAATCAGCTCCAGTAGATCCAGACTCCTCAAACCCATTACGAAATAAACATCACAGCTGCTTCTAGATCAGCACTGAAGCTTAAAGCGTAATTCTCAATGGTTGAAATTTCAGTTCCCATCCATGGAAGCGCTCATTGGCTGGATGCTTGATCGGTCAGCTGAGTATCTGTGTGTGTTTAGTTTTCTTACTCAACGTCTCAGATGTTTTGTTTGGTCACACTGGCAGACGTGCAGTCAAGAGAGAGGCGGTTCGAAACCTTATATTCGGCCTGTGATTTTAACTTTACTGTTAGTCACCTTGAATATACTGCTTTTAAAGGGGTTATATGAAGAGAAACAGGTTGTTTTCAATGTATCAATATATTGTACATTTTATGAACTCTGAATTTACCTCCAATCCAAAAGAGCATCTATTGACATTTTGTTTGGTACAAGTTAAGCTTCACCAGAATGTGTGACAAATGTTGCTGTGATGAAACTAGGAAGAATGCTTTACACAATTTTAGCTCATGGTTCATGAGGTCAGTGTGTCTGCAGGCAGGAAGCTCTTATCAAAAACAGCACACCCAAATTCAAGAGATCAGATCAAGTCAGCTCATATTTCATACAGAATAACACTGTATGCAAGTCTCTATTTCAGTAGCACTCACAGTTTGCTGCTCTTTATGTCATGATCTCAAGGTTAATGCCTTTGCAAGATAGGAGATATTTCGAGGTCAGTTTGAAGGACCATCAGCTCTGCTCTGTTTGACTGGAGTAAATAAATCCTGCACTCAAAAATGAAACAACTCAAGTCTTTCTCCAACCTAATTATATATCCCAAAACGTTTTGCTCTGGTTAAAATATGTGTCCTGTTATCTTCATAAAGGGTTTCAGTACATAGTAATGCAGGACGAGTGATCTGAAATCAGCTCCAGTAGATCCAGACTCCTCAAACCCATTACGAAATAAACATCACAGCTGCTTCTAGATCAGCACTGAAGCTTAAAGCGTAATTCTCAATGGTTGAAATTTCAGTTCCCATCCATGGAAGCGCTCATTGGCTGGATGCTTGATCGGTCAGCTGAGTATCTGTGTGTGTTTAGTTTTCTTACTCAACGTCTCAGATGTTTTGTTTGGTCACACTGGCAGACGTGACCAAACAAAGAGAGAGGCGGTTCGAAACCTTATATTCGTCCTGTGATTTTAACTTTACTGTTAGTCACCTTGAATATACTGCTTTTAAAGGGGTTATATGAAGAGAAACAGGTTGTTTTCAATGTATCAATATATTGTACATTTTATGAACTCTGAATTTACCTCCAATCCAAAAGAGCATCTATTGACATTTTGTTTGGTACAAGTTAAGCTTCACCAGAATGTGTGACAAATGTTGCTGTGATGAAACTAGGAAGAATGCTTTACACAATTTTAGCTCATGGTTCATGAGGTCAGTGTGTCTGCAGGCAGGAAGCTCTTATCAAAAACAGCACACCCAAATTCAAGAGATCAGATCAAGTCAGCTCATATTTCATACAGAATAACACTGTATGCAAGTCTCTATTTCAGTAGCACTCACAGTTTGCTGCTCTTTATGTCATGATCTCAAGGTTAATGCCTTTGCAAGATAGGAGATATTTCGAGGTCAGTTTGAAGGACCATCAGCTCTGCTCTGTTTGACTGGAGTAAATAAATCCTGCACTCAAAAATGAAACAACTCAAGTCTTTCTCCAACCTAATTATATATCCCAAAACGTTTTGCTCTGGTTAAAATATGTGTCCTGTTATCTTCATAAAGGGTTTCCTCTAATAAAACCAGATTGTAGGCCTGCAGAGCATTTCTAATCAAGTGAAAAGTATGAAAAAAGCACAATTCAGATCATTAATTTTCTTCAGTCCACTCCACACAAGGTTTCTGTATCCTGAGAGTGATTGATAATGCGTCTGTGTGTTTCCTATCTGGTGTACTGATATGTAAATCTCAGCTGAAAATCATAGAGCTCAGTTTGCATGTGTATTTCGCTCAACAGATTCAGCCCTATGAGAAGATCAAGTTGAAGGGTCTTCCTGCCGATGTGGCGTCCAGCCTTAATAAACTGGCTGTGGTGAAGCTCAATGGAGGTTTGGGGACCAGCATGGGCTGCAAAGGACCCAAAAGTCTCATCAGCGTCCGTAACGAAAACACTTTCCTGGACCTGACCGTACAGCAGATCGAGGTATTACACCACATATGTTTCAAAGACTTTAGATATACCAAATACGGTGCTCTCCTATTACTTATGAATGGGAGAAAGTATAACATGCAAACAAGAGCCAGTCGTTAATTGATAAGTCAATGCATCACTGCAGTCTCTTATGCTCACCATGTTATTACAATTTAAAATAACTGTTTTCTGTTTGAATATATTTAAATTTATTGCTGTGATCAAAGCTGAATTTTCAGCATCATTACTCCAGTCTTCAGTGTCACATGATCATTCAGAAATCATTCTAATATGCTGATGTGCTGCTCAACAACATTTCTGATTATTATCAATGTTGAATTGTGCTGCTTTGTTTTTGTGGAGACTGTGATATATTTTTTCAGGATTTTTTGATGAATAGAAAGTAAAAAAAAAAAAAAAAAAAAAAAAAATGCATTTATTTAAAATAGAAATCTTTTGTAACATTGTAATTGCCGATGTAATTGCAATTTATTGTCACTTTTAGTCATTTTAATGCATCCTTGATGAAAGAGAGTATTCATTCCTCTAAAGAAAATCTTAATGACCCCAAACTTTTGTTGTATATGGATTTGAACACAAGTAATTATAATTGAACATAATACTTAATAATTGTGTATAACTTTAGAACAACAGTGAATGATGTGTGAAGTACATGGGTTTAGACCTTTTTTCGACTTCTATACGATCTGTGTCAAATGAGGTAAGACTGTATTTGCAGATTCAGACCTTGGTAAAGGTTTCCCTCGGTGTCAATGACTGTTTAACCCAAAGTTGCATAATATCATGTTTTTTCCACATGACAAAATCGAAGGCATTTAGAGGAATATCTTGAGAAATACTATTTTGTTATGTAATGCCTATGATACACCCTTTACATTAAAATGGGGATCAAATCCAGGGCTCTACAGTGATGTGACTGACTGTTTACTACATAACCTGCACACAAACAGCCATAGCATTTTTCGTTCTTTGTTCACAAATTTTGCTCCTAATTTTGGGGGGAAAAACAAAAAAACTTATTTTAACATCCAGAATCATTTAATTGAGCGTCTTTTATGGAGTGTCATGCTTTAGTGTAATGGTCATACAGTAAGTTATTGAAGCTATACCAAACAAAATGTGTAGCACTTGAATTTACAGACCTGATATTTGTTTTTAAAAAATTCACAAGGACAGTGAAAAGGAAGTGGCTGAAGAATTATTGGTGTATCAAATTAAAGATCTTGCGTGAATCTCTCTCTTTCAGCATTTGAATAAGTCGTATAATGCAGACGTGCCACTGGTGCTGATGAATTCCTTCAACACAGATGAAGACACCAAGAAGATCCTGCAGAAGTACACACATCACCACGTCAAGATACACACCTTCAACCAGAGCAGGTACACACACACACACACACACACGCTTCTCAAATATGAACATACTGTATCTTTCAGAATAAAAGTCACAGTTTTTTATCATGTGAAACATGCTGTGACTTATATAAAGCCATGCAAAACATGTGTTGAATGAAAGAGGTACATGAGTGCAATTTTATTTATATTGCACATTTCCTACATGCCAGTTGTTTCAGTTTTGCTTTAAAGAAGTTAATTTAGGCTTAACATTTATAATAAATATTGTGTAAAATGATTCATATGTTTGTTTTATAATTACATTTTTCATTCGCTGTATGTTCTAAATTAAATAAAAATTTGTTGTGGAGTGACGGGAGCTAAAATACATGATTATAATTTTTTTTTTACATTAAAATTGTTTAATGTAAAATGTATTTTACATTATTTCTGCATGTTATAATAAAATGTGACCTATGCACTGATGTAAATTATCTGCAATTTTGAGCCAATGTGACTTATGATATTTTCTGGAAAATACGGTACTCATATTTTATCAAGTTAAGTATTTTAGTAGAGCGTTAATAGAACAAAAGTCATGAAAATCATTTTGTTTGAGTGCTTTTTTATTTTTATTTTATTTGTATTTATTTTTTAATATAAAATGTTATATTTCAAATTCATAACAATTAACTACATAAAAATAACATTTGTGGTATATTCTAAAACAATCCCCAATATATTATATTATAAATATTATATATATTTTTTTAATATATATATATGTTATATTTCAAATGCAAAACACTTAATGGCTACATACAAATAATTGTGGCATAATTTAAAAATCTCCCCAAAATATCAAATATATTGTAAATATGCAAAAAATTATCAGCCAGCTTTTGGGAACACCAATCCTTACAATAAAACATCTGAGGTATTAGTATTTCAAGATTTATTCACACATTTATGCAAGCTGTTAGTCCACAGCTTTGACTGCTTTTCCATTGTCAGCTTGTCTGTTTTCCTGTCCTGCACAGGTATCCCAGGATCAATAAGGAGTCTTTGTTACCCGTGGCCACTAACATGGGCCTGACCGGTGAGAATGAAGAGGCCTGGTACCCGCCTGGCCATGGAGACATCTACACCAGCTTCTTCAACTCCGGCCTGCTGGACAAGCTCATCGCAGAAGGGAAAGAGTACATCTTCGTGTCCAACATTGACAACCTGGGCGCCACGGTGGACCTGCACATCTTGAACCACCTGATGAACCAGCCCAGTGACAAACGCTGCGAATTTGTCATGGAGGTCACGGATAAGACACGAGCTGACGTGAAGGTGAGTGGGGTTACCATGCAGACGTATAGCTCCTGTTATTCTGTGGAACACAAAACAAAAGCAGCATGAACATTCTTCAGAATTTCTTGTTGAATGAGTTCAGATTGATTTCAAATGAATTGAGGGATAATTGATGACCATTTTTGGTTGAAATGGTCCTCCAAAGGCCCTTGATATACTGAAGAACAGACTGGTGTGATGTCATTTTGAACAAAATCAGGCCAAAACAAAGTTTGTTGGGAGTTTAGGTCGGGAGTTTGAAAAAGCTTGCCAAAAAAGCTTGCACCAGCTGGTAAACCCCTTCAAACTACCACTGGTTCAAGCGATTATGGTATCAGTAGTTGTGCTCTGGACTTCAAAACATGAACACAATGAAGAGCTGATTTATAGTAGAAGTTGAAGTTGATTCTAATTGAAAGCACACAGTTTTTTCTTTAATATTGTAAAGCTGCTTGCTTCAAAGCAGAAGTGGCCAAACTATTTAATACGAAGGGCCAAAAATCTAACTTGAAGATCCAAAATGAAACGTGTTATATCCAACTATATAATATTAAAATGTATTACATTTCATATTTTTAATTAAACACAAATTTAAACAGTTGAATTTATTCAACTTAAATGCGTTTAAATTTAAATAAATGTAAATATTTTTTAAACCAAATTCACTTGATGTATTGTTTTTTACATTTCAGTGCAGAAAAGTAAAAAAAGTGAAAACAAAAAGTATAAATTAGAAATGAAGATATGCTTTGATGGCATGTTTTTTTTTTCTATATATTTTGTGATATGGCATGATAACAGGTCAAATCAAAGGTCATCATGGGCCAATTTTGGGCATCTCTTGTTTTCTCACCGGTGTCCTTTTCGTTTTGTGTTCATTTTGTTATTGAGAGGAAAGCGTGCAGCACATATTTACACATTCATCTAAATGCCGCTCTCATCGGCGTGGGTTATCGAGATGTTGGCTAACCGTAAACCGCTGCTCATGGATTTCAAACCTGAAAGTGAAGAGCGAGTATATCTGGGCTTTAAAGCTGATTGGCTAATGCCAGTCATCCGTTTTTTTGTTTCTCTCAGGGTGGCACGCTGACACAGTACGACGGTAAACTCAGGCTGCTGGAGATCGCACAGGTGCCCAAAGCTCACGTCGACGAGTTTAAATCAGTCACCAAGTTCAAGATCTTCAACACCAACAACTTGTGGATCAGCCTGCCGGCCATTAAAAGGCTTCACGTGAAGAACGCCATGGACATGGAGATCATTGTTAACCCAAAGGTGACCATCATGCCTTCTCCATTACAGAGAGCAACGCTTGTGTAGAGGTTTGTGTGTGAAACGGGCTTCTGTTCTGATCTCAGACTCTCGAAGGCGGTCTGAATGTCATCCAGCTGGAGACGGCTGTGGGTGCTGCCATGAAGAGCTTCGACAACGTGCTTGGCATCAACGTGCCCCGCAGCCGCTTCCTGCCCGTCAAAACCACCTCGGACCTCCTGCTGGTCATGTCCAACCTGTACAGCATGAACGCGGGCTCTCTGACCATGAGCCCCAAGAGAGAGTTTCCCACAACACCTCACGTCAAACTGGGCAGCTCCTTCACTAAAGTAAGGTTCACTAAGGACTTTTACACTGTGCTGCTTATTCCGCCCACTTAGACAGGAAGAGATAGCTTGACTTTAATGTAAAGCACTCAGTACCTTAATAATATACTGTGAGAGGCAATTTATATAATATATTTAAAATGTATACATTTTATTTACAACATCAAAGAAATTAGTGTAAAAGTTAAAATGTTGTTAAAGTTGCTTCCTATACGTAATTCAGTTAAATAAACCTTAAATTAGCTGTTCAGTAATATTTAAATAATATTGATAATAAAATATTTAATTTTGTATATTATATTAATTTACAATATCAAAGAAATGAGCAGAAAATGGTTTTGAAGTTATTTTACAGATGTAATTCAGTTAAAAACTACTGTCTTTAAGGCCAGAAACATTGAATCAACTTGGTTATTAAATGTTTAAAATAATTTGTAGTAATGAAATATTTTATATATTTAAAATGTTTATTATATTATGTTTTAAACATCATGAAATAAGTGTAAAAAGTAAAATGTTAATCAAGTTAGTCGTTTTCTAGACATAATGCAATTAAAGAAACAGCTGTTCAGTAATTAAATACTTTAAAATTATTTATTTTATTAATGAAATCTTTTATTTTATATCGTTATATTTAAAACATCAAAGAAATTACCGAAAATGTTAATAAAGCCAAAGTTATTGTACAGACCTAATTTAAAGGCTACTGCGTCTTTAAAGCCAGAAACATTCCATTAGATGTTCCATAATTAAATACTTTTAAATAATTTATTTTTAATTATAAAATATTTAATATGCTTATATTATTTTATTTAAAACATCAAAGAAATGGCTGAAAATGTTAAAGTTAGTTATTTCACAGACAAAATTCAGTTAAAGCTACCGTGTCTGTAAGGCCTGAAACATTAAAAAGCTGTACAGCAACTGAGTCCTTTTAAATTATTTACAATATTTTATATATTTAATGTTTATATTATTATTAAAGAAATTTGTAGAAAATGTTAAAATTATTTTAAAAATTACAGACATTTAATAGCTTCTTTAAAGTGTTTTTAAACGTGTCTTTAAGGCCTAAAACATTGAATTACCTGTTCACTAATTCACTTTTTTAATTAATTATATGCAGCTTTTGAATAATCTTTCTATTGTTGTCTTTTTATTTCTAGGTTCGAGACTTCCTGAAAAGGTTTGAGAGCATCCCAGACATGCTGGAACTGGATCACCTGACTGTTTCAGGAGACGTTACCTTCGGAAAACAAGTCACACTCAAGGTACGGATGTCTGACATTTGTGAGTTTGCACACATTGTGTACATATTGTGACTCGTTGTTTCTGTACAACAGGGAACGGTTATCATTATTGCTAATCATGGAGACAGAATCGACATCCCGGCCGGAGCGATACTAGAGAACAAGATCGTTTCAGGAAACCTGCGCATCCTGGACCACTGAGGCCTTTACAACCGAACCACAACCGTGTGTGTGTGGAAACGTGTGTCCATCTGATGATTAGCATTAAATGCCTGTATGAAAACATCAGAATTTACTGTAAATGCTTTTGACAGTGAATTTTACAAAGGGCTGTATAATGGGTTTTTAACAGACTGGTTTTGCTGCTATGTAGCTCACTCAATAAAACACTGAAGACAAGTGTAAGAAATGGCAGAGGAAGGAACCAGGAGACGACGCTTTAAAAATATGCTTTAAAACAGAAATTAGTGTTTTTGATCTTCAAAATGTTGCTTTTTTTTTACCAAATAACTCAAGTGAGCATAAAAGCATTAGAATTATCATTCTATTAATGAAATTTATATAAATATTAGGTAACTTTTATAATATATTTCAAATGTATACATTTTATTTACAACATCAAAGAAATTAGTGTAAAAGTTAAAATGTTGTTAAAGTTGCTTCCTATACGTAATTCAGTTAAAGAAACCTTAAATTAGCTGTTCAGTAATATTTAAATAATATTGATAATAAAATATTTAATTTTGTATATTATATTAATTTACAATATCAAAGAAATGAGCAGAAAATGGTTTTGAAGTTATTTTACAGATGTAATTCAGTTAAAAACTACTGTCTTTAAGGCCAGAAACATTGAATCAACTTGGTTATTAAATGTTTAAAATAATTTGTAGTAATGAAATATTTTTTATATTTAAAATGTTTATTATATTATGTTTTAAACATCATGAAATAAGTGTAAAAAGTAAAATGTTAATCAAGTTAGTCGTTTTCTAGACATAATGCAATTAAAGAAACAGCTGTTCAGTAATTAAATACTTTAAAATTATTTATTTTATTAATGAAATCTTTTATTTTATATCGTTATATTTAAAACATCAAAGAAATTACCGAAAATGTTAATAAAGCCAAAGTTATTGTACAGACCTAATTTAAAGGCTACTGCGTCTTTAAAGCCAGAAACATTCCATTAGATGTTCCATAATTAAATACTTTTAAATAATTTATTTTTAATTATAAAATATTTAATATGCTTATATTATTTTATTTAAAACATCAAAGAAATGGCTGAAAATGTTAAAGTTAGTTATTTCACAGACAAAATTCAGTTAAAGCTACCGTGTCTGTAAGGCCTGAAACATTAAAAAGCTGTACAGCAACTGAGTCCTTTTAAATTATTTACAATATTTTATATATTTAATGTTTATATTATTATTAAAGAAATTTGTAGAAAATGTTAAAATTATTTTAAAAATTACAGACATTTAATAGCTTCTTTAAAGTGTTTTTAAACGTGTCTTTAAGGCCTAAAACATTGAATTACCTGTTCACTAATTCACTTTTTTAATTAATTATATGCAGCTTTTGAATAATCTTTCTATTGTTGTCTTTTTATTTCTAGGTTCGAGACTTCCTGAAAAGGTTTGAGAGCATCCCAGACATGCTGGAACTGGATCACCTGACTGTTTCAGGAGACGTTACCTTCGGAAAACAAGTCACACTCAAGGTACGGATGTCTGACATTTGTGAGTTTGCACACATTGTGTACATATTGTGACTCGTTGTTTCTGTACAACAGGGAACGGTTATCATTATTGCTAATCATGGAGACAGAATCGACATCCCGGCCGGAGCGATACTAGAGAACAAGATCGTTTCAGGAAACCTGCGCATCCTGGACCACTGAGGCCTTTACAACCGAACCACAACCGTGTGTGTGTGGAAACGTGTGTCCATCTGATGATTAGCATTAAATGCCTGTATGAAAACATCAGAATTTACTGTAAATGCTTTTGACAGTGAATTTTACAAAGGGCTGTATAATGGGTTTTTAACAGACTGGTTTTGCTGCTATGTAGCTCACTCAATAAAACACTGAAGACAAGTGTAAGAAATGGCAGAGGAAGGAACCAGGAGACGACGCTTTAAAAATATGCTTTAAAACAGAAATTAGTGTTTTTGATCTTCAAAATGTTGCTTTTTTTTTACCAAATAACTCAAGTGAGCATAAAAGCATTAGAATTATCATTCTATTAATGAAATTTATATAAATATTAGGTAACTTTTATTGTACAGTATCCTTGTTACACGTACTTACTGCATGTAATGTTTACTAACAATAAATTATGCATAATTACATGCGACTAACCCTTAACCTAACCCTAACCATATAGTAAGGACATGTAGTTAATTAATATTACTCAGTACTTTAATGTATAATTACTCTGTAACAAGGACATGGTAAAATAAAGTGTAACCAAATTATAAATATATATATGATCATTTTAAATATTTAATTTTTAAACATGCACTTTACAAATGAATCAAATTGTTGCCCAGTGGCACGCTGCAAATTTTTACATTAAATATTCTTAAATTGCCATTATTAGTATAATTTAGAATGTAATATTCTAAAAAATATATTTTATTTGGATTCTCAATATAATTTTAAATTTGTTTTTTAACATTTCAAATACAAATAAAATTTGCTCACTGCAAACATTTCAAAGTTGGCCAATAATGTATAATATATTGCCGATTATATTTTTTAATTCTTAAACATTAACTTCTAAATTATATTCAGATCATAAAAGTATTTTATTTTTACATTTTATAAATATGCTGCACAATTTCAAATATTGTTTTCAAAAACAACACATCCCAATCTTTCTGTCAATCTGTTAATCACTTTACAAATGAATCAAATTGTTTCCCAATTGCTCACTGCAAACATTTAACATTTTTAAAGACACAGCAGACTTGAAAAACATTTGTACATGGAGCAATATCATAACTTCAGCACTAGTGGAAAACCTTTAGAAGACATTCACATAGTCTCAACTCATGCCCCTAGTACGGTGGCCGAGAGAGCTCAACGCGCTGCAACTTAAGAAAACGGAAAACCTTTAGAAGACATTCACATAGTCTCAACTCATGCCCCTAGTGCCTGTAAATGGAAAAAACATAAGGAGTGCTAGTCAATCCAAATACAAATGCAGTCTGAATGGTTTCTAATCATCAGGAGATCAAACAATACATTCTATGATCGTTCATTTATCATCGGTATCCTTAAGTGTTATTTGACTGACCCGGCCCACATCATTTCCCATCAGGATTCACTTTATCTGGATACATGAAGCAAAAACAAATCAAGCAACAAAATAAGAGGAACATGCATCTAGAGCACACAAACACCACAGACGCCAAGTGCTTTATCATTCACACAGCAATCAAGGTGCTGAATTAAAGGAAAATGCTTCTGGCTTTGTAGGAAAATCTTTTGTCTTTTGCTGTCCACATCGTCTCGAGCTCTGGCCGTAATTCAGTCAAAGAAAATCACAAGCTGAGCTCCAACAACTCGCAAAGTCATAGAAAAGACAAAATAATACAAATCCCCTCCAAGATTTGTATTCCACGTCTTTAGTAAAAAACATTTGACGTCCTCCTTGTATAGTGCGTGTCGGTGTCATACAGCTGTTGTGTCTCCGTACTGTCTGTTCCAGCGGACATACTGATCCAGCGTTTGAGGACTCACGCTCCGCTTTATCCTCTTGAGCGAATCCTCAAAATCAGAGAAACGGATGTCCCTCATCTGAACGGGAAAAAGACAGGAACGTGAGGGAGAAACACTACATGCTACATTCAAGTTTATTTGTGTAGTGCTTTTACGATACAAATCGTTGCAAAGCAACTTTACAGAAAATTACGTTTTTACAATATTTAGTACATGGTATGTTTAAAAATAGAACGTGAATTTATTTTTTAAAATAGTATGTGAAAGAGAACACTGTATAAATAAGTGGCATTTCTTAGAAGGTGTTTTCATATTTTGAATCCAATTTTGTATGAAAACGTTTGCTGTTGCAAAATGAAAATCTCATTTAGTGAAGATTTCTAAAAACAGAAATATAAAAAAAAAACTAATTTCTCTACCTCTCCGGCTGGAATGTTCCTCACTTGTTCAGGCCTCAGTTCTGTGTTGAGAAAGAACAGAACACAATTATCTAGCAAGAAGTCCACCTCTTGACCAAATGTGACCCTGGACCACAAAACTAGTCTTAAGTTAAAACTCTTCGAAATTGAGATGTATACATCACATGAAAGCTGAATAAATAAGCTTTCCATTGATGTATGGTTTGTTAGGATAGGACAATATTTGGCTGAGATACAACTATTTGAAAATCTGTAATCTGAGGGTGCAAAAAAAATCAAAATCAAAATATTGAGAAAATCACCTTTAAAGTTGTCCAAATGACGTTCTTAGCAATGCATATTACTAATCAAAAATATAGTTTTATATATTTACAGTAGGAAATTTACAAAATATCTTCATGGAACATGATCTTTACTTAAAGTCCTAATGATTTTTGGCAAGAAAAATCAATACTTTTGACCCATACAATGCATTTTTGGTTATTGCTACAAATATACCCCAGTGACTTAAGACTGGTTTTGTGCTCCAGGGTCAACAAATGTCATGGTATGTTTTAATACAATATCTGCATGTCGTATGAATGTACCCCGTATAGGACCAAGAGCAGCGTCTTTAGCCAGTGAGGTCAGATCGCTGCCGGAGTAACCCTCAGTCATCCTGAAAACCCACCGGACAATATAAAATTACCCAGCATTAAGAGCCATTAGTCTCATTTGCATACTCTACCGAAATATGAAGCTGTGTTTCACCTGGCTAACTGACTCAGCTCTTTCTGAGATAAAGTGTTTCTGTGTTTGCTGAGGAGGTTCTTGAGCAGCTTCAAACGAGTCTGAAACACACACACACACACACACACACAGTCAATTAGTGTTTGTGTTCATGGCTAATTAACTGTAAAACCAAAACCATGAAAATTAAATTCAAATGACTGCTGTATAACATTTAATTTTTCAGTGAATTTCTCATAAATTTACGGAAAAATATCAATGCATTACATTTACATTCCATTTAGTCATTTAACAGGTGCTTTTATTCAAAGTGACTTACAAATGAGGACAAAAGAAGCAATTAAACCAACAAAAGAGCAACAATATGCAAGTGCTGTGACAAGTCTCGGTTAACCTAACGCAGTACATGTAGCAAAGTTTTTTGTTTTTTTTATAAATAAAAAGAAAACAAGTCTACGGAATATAAAAAGAATAGAGAACGCTAATGTTAGAGGGTAATTTTTTATAATAAATTCAAAGAAAACAAGTTGAAAGAATATAAAAAAACAGAGGATGCTAGTTAATTGTTATTATTAATTATCAATATTAATATATAATATTAATATAATCAACAAGTGAAAAAAATGAAATTTAATTATTACCACTACCGTTCAAAAATCTGGGTGCCAGTATCAGTACCTTTTTTATTGGAAGAAATAATACTTTTATTCATCAAAAATGCATTAAATTGATATGTAAAAGACATTTATAATGTTAACAAGGATTTCTATTTCACATAAATGCTGTTTTTTCTTTTTCTTTTTTTACTTTCTATTCAACAAAATGCTGAAAATGTAGCTTTTCCATCACAGGAAAAAATTACATTTTAAAATATATTCAAACATAAAACAGTTATTTTCAATTGTAATAACATTTCACAATATTACAGTTTTTACTGTATTTCTGAGAAAATCTATGAGTTTTGAACAGTAGTGTAATGTGTACATATTTAATTGCGTGTTTAATTAATAAAGTGCCTTCCATATTAATAACCATGGCAAATATTTCTTGACTTAGTTTAGAGAAATATTTAAGTTGAATTAAAATTCACAGTCATGATCTGAAAGAGAACCAATAGCATTTGCCCAACCCTGGTGTGAACACAGTACCTCCTCTGTAGGTAAAGCCACATAAATGCGTTTAGCGAATCGCCTGTGAGGGAAAAACACATTAGAGGATGTCATTATGAAGTCTTTGAAAGTAAGTGTGCGACTGCAGGTTAACGGTACCTAAGAACTGCCTCATCAAGCTCCTGAGGCCTGTTAGTGGCTCCCATCACTAACACACGCTCATCTCCTCCTGACTGCACCTACAACACACACACACACACACACACAAGGAGCGTCAGTCACCCGTGATCAGAAATTGTGAATTTTCAGATAAAACACACACACTTACTCCATCAAACTCGATGAGGAACTCAGTTTTGAGTCTTCTGCTGGCATCATGCTCGCCCTCTCGCCTCTCACAGAGCAGACTGTCAATCTCATCTGCACCAAAATCACCATTAATCATGCATTTAAAGAAACAAATGAATGAGTCCGACTGACGGTTCTCACCGATGAAGATGATTGACGGCTGCAGTTCCCTAGCAACCGCAAACAAAGCTCGAACCAGTTTCTCGCCCTCTCCCACCTGAACACACACACACACACACACACACACACAACGACAAGCCAACCTTAAGCCTCAATCAAAGGGAGCATAACACACGGGTCTGAGTGGCTTATTGCCTTCATAAATGGCAGCAACCATAATATGATACATAAAATAATATTCAGACACCACTAAGCAGTATTTATTAAAAAAAGTGATATTCAGCAAGCACAAAAACACAGGGAACTCTAGATCAAATTTAAAGCCATAAGAAAAAAAAACAGCAAAACTACAGAAGTCGCAGTACTCGAGATTCAAACAAACAGCCATACGGTTGGGAAGCCTGCTGCTTAACCAATGTGACACAAGCTTGTTATGATGCGGGGGAGAGATTTTGCATGATAAAAAATAATTAAAGATAAGTCCAATGCTAAACTGAAAGAACACATGAAAAAAAGAGAACAGCCAACCTTCCGTCCAGACGCTCGTTTATCATGGTGTGCCATGTAGAGGACACACAATTACCCTAATGCCAAGGAGAGCTTCCAGTGTGAGAATGAACACACAGATTGTGGCAGCTTCTAATAATCATTGATTATTATGGTGAATGACATCAAGTTGACCCTTCCAATATGGCGGACGGCTTACATATTAGTGGCCCATAGAAACAGTCGCTAATGAGGCATCTGCGTATACATATCTATGTGTTGACATAAACATAAGCTCATAAGTTTGCCTGACGCCCACAAGCCATATTTAAAAGAACAGCTTATAATTAGCATGATAACAGATTAGCAAGTTAGGTAGAACAACAAACACAGACCCGTAACGGCAGGGAATAGTAGTAATTTATTTTGCCGTGTCAGCATGGCAAAAACTGAATTGGAATAATACAAGAGTTAACGGCAGCGAATATCAAAATCTTTTTGGGTGGCTTGGTCCAAAAATCATCTCAGCCATATCTGAACAAAACTGGTCAAGAGTTGTAGGAGGAACAGCTAAAAATAAAAACTCCCATCAGGGGTCACAACAGCGGAATAATCCACACAAACAATTTGGCATGTTTTACGCTGGATGGCCTTTCTGCAAGAGTAGCAAAAAACAGCTTTTCAAGTTACTTGTCTTGGGGGGAAAAAAAGCTTTTTTTTGCCATAAATGTAATTTGTTCTGACGCAATGGTCTCATCAGTGCTCTATCAGGTCTTACTTTAATCAGCATATTTGTGATATTTGCCTTAAATTGATTTCTAGGACACTTTTTAACTTTATGAAGGGAAATATTTTTCATAGCCTTATTAAATGTATGTGCATCATTTACATCAAATTCTTATTTTATCAATACATTGAGTTAGAATAATAAGACACTGAATGGTTGTTACCATTCAAATTAAATACGTTTCAACAAACTCCATCTTTCCACTGCAGAGGAAACAGAAGCTGTATCAAAAGTGCCGTTCAGAAGGATTTCCTCAGACTGTGTAATGAAGATAAGAGGTTCTACAAATGCATTTACACAGTAAAATGAGTGAGTCATTGATTCAACCGATTCATTCAATAAATGAAGCAAGTGACTGTCTTATGAATGGCTCACTGAATCACTGACTCACCCGATTCGTTCAAAAATGCTGAATCATTCAGTAACGAAACACTGATGCGTGTTGCTCGGAGATGTGCGACTGTTAAATATTTAAAATCAGAATCAAATCTCGCCAAAGTTTCGGTGCTGCCCTAGTTGTTTGTTATTGACGTTTTAATCAGGTTATTCTCTTTTCACTTGCCGCTTCACAAAATCCACTTGTCCCGTATTCACAAGTTATGAGCAAAAAGAGCTATTTTTCTGATTTCAAGACCTGTAGATGTGGCGGTCACGAAATTTGGCAGGTACCCTCAGATTATGGTGCTAAAGCAGCGTGCAATGTTTCATTCTAGATTCAAACACCCAACCTTTTGATTGGAAAGCCAAGTAACTCATGATGTGCCACATAGAGCCAATGATTGTGCTGAGGAGAAATTCAAAGTGAGAATACGAAATGTTTTTTACATGCTAAAAATAAATAAATAGTGCCATGCTGAACTAAAAAGAATGCATGAAAACAAGAGGTAAACATGTTGATGGCATATCAGAAATCATTTAGACACTACTCGTGGGAATCGAACCCGCAAATCTCAGGTGCTCGCCGCATATCATGGTGTGCCACAAGGTGGACCAAGTTTTCCTGATGTTGAGGAGAGATTAAAGGTGAGAACGAACACAAATTTTATTTTTTATTTTTAATTCTAAAAAATGAGTGCAATGCTGTCCTGAAAGAATACATGAGAACAAGTGCAACCTCAGGTGCTCGCCGCATATCATGGTGTGCCACAAGGTGGACCAAGTTTTCCTGATGTTGAGGAGAGATTAAAGGTGAGAACGAACACAAATTTTATTTTTAATTCTAAAAAATGAGTGCAATGCTGTCCTGAAAGAATACATGAGAACAAGTGCAATATAATGTCCATGGCATTTCAGAAACCATTTAGACATTCTAACTCTCTGGAATCAAACCCAGGGCCCTTTGGTTGGGTGCTTGTTGCTTTTCACAGCACCGCATGGAAGCCAGATTAGTTTGATATATATATATGATGATTTGCTGCTCAAGAAACATTATTATCATCAATGTTGAAAAACATTTTTACTGCTTAATATTTTTGTGGAAACCATGATTCACCAATCTGCTGAATAGTAGTTTGTAAATGCTTTTTTAAATGTTCTGTTCATCAAATAACCCTGAAAAAAGCTTCCACAAAAATATTAAGCAGCACAAGTGTTTTTAACATTGATAATCAGAAATGTTTCTTGAGCTGCAAATCAGCATATTAGAATTATTTCTGAAGGATCATGTGACACTGAATACTGGAGTAATGATTCTGAAAATTCAGCTTTATCATCACAGGAATAAATTACATTTTACTTAAAATAGAGAACAGTTATTTGAAATAGCAATAACAATTTCATAAGACTACTGTTGTTACTGTATTTTTTTGATCAAATAAATGCAGTCTTGGTGAGTCTGCTTTTAAAAAGCACTTAAAACCATAACGATTCCAAGCTTTTGATATGTACTGCATATATAATACACATATAGTGTACATATAATATCTCATATTATTATATGAAATCATTTTTATGCACTCTGATTAAATAGATGGCTTTAGATGCAATAACTATATACTTAAAATATACTTAAAAATAAAGTTTATTTTCCATTAAATAAACACACATACAGTATTTAATTATCATCATTTATATGCATTATTATACTAAAACACTGTAATAAACAGCAATATTTACATGCAGACTTTTTCTAAATTAATATACAACACATTTCTGACAATTCAGTGAACAACAGTAATGCATTAAAATATTTTACATTTATTTTTAACAATATTAATGTTACCTCTCTACGATCTCATTAAGGATGAGGTTGGCCAGTTTGCTGTCTACATTTTTCAAGTTCTTCATGTCTCTTTTCCTCTGAGGTGACGCAGTGGCAGTGTTGCTGGCTCTAACGTTATGTCTGTTACCGCCTCTTGCCGAGGGCCCCTACAAAAACCAAGCACGCCAACAAAGTTCAGCCACACGCACTCTGTTCCAAAACCTAGTAAGCTGCCTTCATAGACGGCATTTTAAGATGACGCACGCTTAGATAAAGTTAGACAGTCTGAGCTCTGACCCCTGTGAGACGAACCTTCAGGTTGTTCTGAGGGCCGGTCCTGCTGCTGTGACCGGTTGAAGGCATGCGGTGCAGGGCAGCCGCGGGGGCAGATTTGGGTGGGTTTTTGGGCCGCAGATGGGATTGACTTGTGATCGTGAGAGTGTCCTTCTTTTTGGAAACTGCTCCACTGCCTGCAACTACAAACATACACAGAAACATCACTGTAGAATCTCTCTGATCAGAATCTGACACTGCACATAGATTTCCCAGAATCCAAAGCAAACACCCACCTGGACGCAGATTCCCATTGGAGAAAGACAGGCCAGTGTGATCTGAGCAGCCCTCTGCTGGGGACTCTGAAAGCAGTTTGCCTTTGTGATTGCAGAAAAGGAAACAGACAGAGGAAAAGAGACATTTAAGAGGAAACTAAAAACTCCAGGGGAAAAAAACAAAACAGAACAGAGGGTGAAAAGCATGTCCAGGTCACAATTCACCACAAAGTACAAAAAAAGAAAATAATAAGTAAAGAAAAGTGAAGTCTATCATTTTATTATTTTTATCATTTGTATTTGTTTTATTATCATTTTCAGGACAATTACACATTTTACTTTTCATTACTGCATTCACAGGACAGTAAAAATACTGTTATTAATTGTGTAGTTAAAAATAACAAATTTTATATATATATATATATATATATATATATTGTAAGTCTGAAGCTTTCTGGCTCGGTCTGCCTTCTCACCTACAAGAGCCAGATGAAGACGTTCTATCAAACTTATTAAGAAGAAAATAACTATTGAAAATGAATTGAAAAAGTATTGAAGCACAATACAGGCTGCATTCTGTCATGAAATTAAAAACAAAAGCTAGTGTAATTAAAGCACATCACATAGCTTGTTTACACACTAACAGAAATCAATATGACTGAATCATCTCACCAGCTCCAGTGACCTGGATACGGATGCCTTTCTCCAGTTCAGCGATGCCTTTTCTGTACCACTGCACTGCCTGCTCCTTATCACCTACAACACCACATGCTGATTAGAAATGCTACAGACCATTTGCCATTCTGTAGGGATTATACATACAAAATAATAATACTGCAAGCCTAAACCAACACACCTGGGTTTCAAAGTAAAACTTTCAGATAATTTCAGAACTTTTTACTGTCAATACCATGTTGTCAGTGCTTTATGTTAAAGCTCCAAAAGGAGCTTTAAATTGGAAAGATGCTCTTAAAATAAATCAGTACGTGCTAATTGTCATGCAGGCCCAACTATATGGCCCTGAGCATGATGGGATTGAGAAACAGCCAATGAACCTATTGAACGGAGTTCTTTGTTTTCACTGATGCCGCTGGCTTCTCTCCACGAGACTACAGAGCGAAAAACAACATAACCACATGATATGACGAGTGGAACAAATCCAGGTCACAAGGTTTTAAAATCACATAAAAATAAACAATAAGAATAAGAATAATAATAATAATAAATAAAATAATAAAAAATAATAAAATATATAAAGTAAAGTGTAGAATTAAACATGTTTAATGTTTATGCTCAACAAGGTAACATTTATTTAATCAAAAACACTGTAAAAACACAGTATTAATACAATTTAAAAGAACTGTTTTGTACTTGAATACATTTTAAAATATAATTTATTCCTGTGATATAAAGCTGAATTTTCAGCATCATTACTCCTGTCTTCATGATCCTTCAGAAATCATTCTTATATGCTGAATTGATGCTCAAGAAACTTTTAATGTTATCAAATCTTGAAAACAATTGTGCTGCTTTGTATTTTGGTTTATTTTTAATAAAGAAATTGAACTGTTTTTAAGACTATTGCAATTTTTTCTTATGAATATTTAATGAGGTACTCACGAAGGTGGTTTATGATTGGTTCTCTTTTGCTAAACAACAGCCAATGAACCTATTGAACGGAGGTCTTTGTTTTCACTGATGCTGCTGGCTTCTCTCCACGAGACTACAGAGCGAAAAACAACATAACCACATGATATGACGAGTGGAACAAATCCAGGTCACAAGGTTTTAAAATCACATAAAAATAAATAAACAATAAGAATAAGAATAAGAATACATAAAATAATAAAAAATAATAAAATATATAAAGTAAAGTGTAGAATTAAACATGTTTAATGTTTATGCTCAACAAGGTAACATTTATTTAATCAAAAACACTGTAAAAACACAGTATTAATACAATTTAAAAGAACTGTTTTGTACTTGAATACATTTTAAAATATAATTTATTCCTGTGATATAAAGCTGAATTTTCAGCATCATTACTCCTGTCTTCATGATCCTTCAGAAATCATTCTTATATGCTGAATTGATGCTCAAGAAACTTTTAATGTTATCAAATCTTGAAAACAATTGTGCTGCTTTGTATTTTGGTTTATTTTTAATAAAGAAATTGAACTGTTTTTAAGACTATTGCAATTTTTTCTTATGAATATTTAATGAGGTACTCACGAAGGTGGTTTATGATTGGTTCTCTTTTGCTAAACACCTCGCTGTAACTTTACATGGTCTTAACCTGCTTTAAAAAGGACAAGTGTGAAAACCTTGGTTAATAGTGGCTTTAAACCAGGGTTTTAGGACTTTAATGCAGAGTTAAGTGCACTGCGAAAAGCCTTAAAATAAGAAATAAACAGGAGGTGCCATGATACAAAAATGTGAGGACAGACATGCAAAACTGAGCCACTGATTCAGCTCAGAGTGTCAGTACATGGGGCCTCGTTTTCCATTCAGCTGCTGATGAAGACAATCCCGGTCAACCTGAATCAGGCCTCTCAACTCTACTGACCTCAGGGATCAAGCAGATCTGGGGTTTAACAGCACCACTGCATCCTAACTGTTCTACTGACCGCGGAGACAGCTCTGCGACCGGGTTAATCATGGCTGACATCCGAGATCTGATCCCAGATCAATCATCATCTCAGAATCTTATTCTTAGTCAAGAGTATAAGCACATAAAACAGAAACCATGACTATAGAGGTTCTCCTGAAAACCCCAGCTTCTGGTTTCTAACTGACCAAAGCAGGTTGTTTTATTTTTTTGTGGATGGTCCAAACCGGTGGTTAATCAGCTGGACGGGACGGGTTAGGTGTTGCTATAATTATAAATTATTAGCATACATAACAAATGAACCAGCATTTAATGGTCATTATCCAGCCCTCTCTCTAGTTATTGGTATCTGCACTGGACATTCATATCTTCTGAGTACTAGTTCACATCAGACTACTGAAACGTCAACCAATGTGGCCGACAAAGTACATGACCCTCCTGAACAGATGAAGTGAAAGTAAAACTAGGGATGCACCGATATGAAAATTTTGTCCGATACCGATAACCGATAATCCTTTATTTTTGAAAGCCGATAACCGATATGTTGGCCGATAAATCTATATCCAAATTTTTATATACTTTTTGAGAGCCTGATTACAAAAAAGGTCTCATCATTAAAAGCCACATCCCAAACACTTCAACATAAGCAGCCTAGTTTGAACGGTGTACGTTTTAAAAATAATTTTACTCTCCCATTACCAAATTTAGTCATAAAAAAGTCTTACAAATAAATAAAATTATGCATAAATAATGCAAACAAGTCACTGGACATCATTACACGTGTAAAGAATCAAAATGAATGCGCCACAGATCAATAAAACACCGATATGGTGGCCGATATATCGTGCATCCCTAAGTAAAACCAAACACAAAACTGAACGTGTAAGACCATTTGCATTGCTCAAATGCTGCAGTGCAATATTTCCTGTTTTTCATACATAAAACACAAGATAGCCTTACAAAAAGTACCATAGCAATACCACGGTAAAGTGATGGTATCACATGGTAATACCATGATACTTAATGATTACTGCACTCATGTACTATGGTATTCACATTTTCTGCTTTTCTTCTTAATTTCAGGTCTACAGATAAATAGTGCCTTTTGTTGGGTCTCTAAAGCACAGCAGTTGTAGGTAATAGAACTTAATGCATTATTTGCAAGTGAGAAAAAAGAAGACCAAAAAACTCTTGAAAATATTTAAATTAATAATAAAAAATAAAAAAAATGTATATATATATATATATGAGAATATTTTGCATTAATAATACTAAAATAATTAAAATATCAAAACCTTGCATATTACTAATAACAAAAATACTATTAATAATAATTGTGAAGTATTCATAATTCGATACAACATCCATCGAATATATCTATAAAACAACTAATTTGGTATACATATGTATTTTAATATACATAACAGTAATAAAGCCAGATACCTTTCTCATCCTCGTCGATCTTCAGAGCCAAAGAAATGAACTCGAACGCTTGTTTGTGGTAGTTTCGGATCAGCTCTCCGGTTTCTTCACAGCCCTCGGATCCGCGGTCTTTGGCCCTGGCCGCCATGGTTCGGCGGATCGGCCGGAACAGCCACCAGAGGAGCAGAAGGAGAGCTCGCAGCAGGGACACCGGGAGCCGGTAGAGGGTTCGGGTGAAGGAGCGCAGCCGGTCCAGCGGAGTCCGTCCGGTTCTGTCAGACACCCGTCCTCCTGCACGCGCTGATCCTCTTCGTCTCGCTCGGTCCCCAGAATTCATTCACCCTGTTCGGGCTCTCCATACCATAACTGGCGGGAGTTCGACAAAGAAGCGCTATACTTCTCGGTTATGTCGGTTCTCCCGTTTGTTTTGGCCAGCATCGACCGCGGAAGTCTCGGAGTAATATGGTCTCACGCTGATGACGTGTACACCACATCGCGTCGCGGGCATTGAGCGAAAACATGTTTTTTTTTGCATTTTCATAGAGTACATAAAATGAAATTGTCCTGGCTCCAAACCATTTCCCCCCATTTATACATGAATTATTAAACAAGTATGATTTATGAATTTATAAGAAAGCAGTCTATCAGAGCATCCACTTTTATTATTACATATAATGTTGATAAAGTGAAGCATAATTGTCCTCTTTTTTATTTTATTTTATAATAATCTTTTGTGTTTTCATATTTTCATAATTTGTTATTTACACAATTTAACTAAATTTTATAAAATGCTCATATTTCTGTCATTACGTTAATATGGATTATTTTATTTGTTTATTTATTATTATTTCTTTCGTGTTTACAAAGAGTATCCATATCTTGTATGGATCAAACGATCAAACGATAGTGATTGGCCCACCTTCACAATCGCCGCAGTGTTGCCAAGTCCGTGATTTTGCCGCGGGTTGAAGCGACCCCAGTAACGTGACAGTTAGCCACTGATTGGGCGGGTTTTGTTGTGAAAACCTGGCAACCCGGAATCGCGGAGTAAAGTTCCGTCTCGCGCAACCACACCCGTTAGCGTTTTTCTTCATCAGTGGTTTGGAAAATGCTTTACACCTGAATGATACTACTAAGAAACGCAACATAAATACACTGTAAATAGTTAAAACATGATATTTAGATCAGGCCTCGCCCATTATAGAACCTACGCTCGCGTCTTTCAAGCGTACGATTTGCGCATGCGCAACGTCAATTGCGTAGAAACCACCAACAACAAATATGGCGGACGGTAAGTGCTGTTTCTGAGCTTTGTGGTTTATTTTGCTCTGTTTAATTGTGCAGTGGTTATATTTTCTGTAGTTCTAGACCTAGTCAGCGTTCAGATACTGTAACAAGAGTTATCTCTCTGATTATGAGCATTAATGCGAGCGTTGAGCTTTTCTGTAGTGGCCCATTGAATCCCGCCATTCACTGCAGTATGTGAGTTTACAGATATGCACATACGGGTGTAAGTTACTGCTGTGCGTGAGTTTCTAAACCTATCATTATGGTAATTGCTCAGTGAGGCCAGACTGTTTTATTATGTCAATGTGGCTTAATGGTTTGATTTTGATCCTAACAGAACACACTGATGCCGAGCAGAGCATGGAGGGACACACTCCTGTGAGCAGCCTTACACGATTTCATTAAAGGAAGATTCTGTCTTCAATACAAGTAAAGCACTGTCAGATTGCCACGATCAGTTGTTGCCATTGTGTTTCTTGTTTCTTTTAGGTACCAGAAAATCCTCATGCAGAATATGGCCTCACTGAAAACATCCAGGTACAACATCAGTACTACTTTGTTTTTCAATTTTGGGAATTTATATTGACAGTCTTAAAGATTGGATTTGAAAAAACGTTGGCTGCGGTGTGAATAAAGCCTTTCTTCTATGGTTGTATTATAAGTTATAACTGCTTCTGTGTGTTTCTCTAGAGAATAGTGGAGAATGAGAAAACAACCGCTGAAAAAGTCACCAAACAGAAGGTGGACCCTCAGACCCTGCAGACCCTTCCTACACGAGCGTACTTGGATCAGACTGTGGTTCCTATTCTCCTGCAGGGCTTGTCAGTTCTGGCCAAGGAAAGGTCTGCATCAGTGCACAGATTTCTTGCTAAGTTCATTCCAAACACAAAACTAAATGAACATGATTTTATTTTTTTTGGATTATGATTGCCTCAAAGGAATGGTTCACCCAAAAATTAAAATGTACTTCCTTTCAGGCCATCCAAGATGAAGATGAGTTTGTTTCTTCATCAAAACAATGAACCTAATCACATCACTTGCTCACCAATGGATCCTCTGCAGTGAATGGGTGCCGTCAGAATGAGAGTCCATACAGCTGATAAAAACATCACAGTAATCCACACCACAAATCCAGTCCATCAATTAACGTCTTGTAAGCGAAAAGCTGCATGTTTGTAAGAAACAAATCCATCAAGGCGTTTTAACCGTAGTATCTGGCCAAAATATGAGTCCATAATCCAGTTTTCTCCAGTGAAAAGTCCAGCTACTGTTGTCTCTCACATCAAAATCAACAGACATATTTGTTTAAAGCTGTTTTGGATGGTTTTCGCTTAAAAACGGTGCTTGATCTGTGCATATTTCTCTACCGATTCAGAGAAGCAGGCTTTATGACGGAGACAATATTTAAGCCAGAAGTTTGAAGTTAAAATATCTTAATGATGGATTTGTTTCTCACAAACACACAGCTTTTCACTTCACAACACATCAGTTGATGGACTGGAGTGGTGTGGATTATTGTGATGTTTTTATCAGCTGTTTGGACGCTCATTCTGACGGCACCCATTCACTGCAGAGCATCCACTGCTGAGCAAGTGATGCAATGCTACATTTCTCCAAATCTGTTCTGATGAAGAAAGAAAGAAACTACATCTTGGATGGCCTGAGGCAGAGTACATTTTCAGCTAATTTCCTTTTTTGGGTTAATTATTCCTTTAAACCTTTTCAAAGGCCCTACCAAAAAAAAAGGAAAATAGCAAAGGAACATTTGCAATCGCTGTTTGAAATTTTTTAAAATGCCTTCTAATGCTGAAACTACACATTATGTAAACAGTTCTGTGAATGAATAATGAAACTATTTAGCCTGATCGAATTAAAATTTCCTCCTTGCATCAAGTAAGTTCATGTATCTAATTTCACTATCTTCCTTCAGGCCTCCAAATCCCATAGAGTTTTTAGCTGCATTCTTACTGAAGAACAAGTCCCAGTTTGAGGAACGGAATTAAAGCCACAGCGTGCGATGTAATCCTAAATCTTTCAGTTTTTTGTTTTGTGTTGTGAACTTAAATGTAATGGTGTCACACTCTTCAAATTGTTTGTTTGTAGTTTTTTTAAGCTCTAATAAAAATGTTCAAGCAGCCATATGTTTCACTAGTGTGGTTTTTCTTTATTTGGTAATTGACAAGGCAGCTACAACTTACACTAAATTGGCTTGGCATATACAAAATTCCAGCTCAGGAAAAATCCTTCATTCCCACTTTTTTGCTTGATATTTTATTATTACACGACACCAAGCATTGTGCATGACAATAACAAACAAAAACGAGAGAGAAAGGGAAACGATTCCTTTTAACTGTGAACATATAAAAACAATTAAAATTTTAATCTGTAGTAAATATAATTTCTTTCTTCAGTATAAAGATTAAACGCTCTCAGCATATGCAAAATAGCAAAGGTACATTTGCAATCGCTGTTTGAAATTTTTTTAAATGCCTTCTAATGCTGAAACTACACATTATGTAAACAGTTCTGTGAATGAATAATGAAACTATTTAGCCTGATCGAATTAAAATTTCCTCCTTGCATCAAGTAAGTTCATGCATCTAATTTCACTATCTTCCTTCAGGCCTCCAAATCCCATAGAGTTTTTAGCTGCATTCTTACTGAAGAACAAGTCCCAGTTTGAGGAACGGAATTAAAGCCACAGCGTGCGATGTAATCCTAAATCTTTCAGTTTTTTGTTTTGTGTTGTGAACTTAAATGTAATGGTGTCACACTCTTCAAATTGTTTGTTTGTAGTTTTTTAAGCTCTAATAAAAATGTTCAAGCAGCCATATGTTTCACTAGTGTGGTTTTTCTTTATTTGGTAATTGACAAGGCAGCTACAACTTACACTAAATTGGCTTGGCATATACAAAATTCCAGCTCAGGAAAAATCCTTCATTCCCACTTTTTTGCTTGATATTTTATTATTACACGACACCAAGCATTGTGCATGACAATAACAAACAAAAACGAGAGAGAAAGGGAAACGATTCCTTTTAACTGTGAACATATAAAAACAATTAAAATTTTAATCTGTAGTAAATATAATTTCTTTCTTCAGTATAAAGATTAAACGCTCTCAGCATATGCAAAATATTCCTAAGCCACTCAAAGCACATCCGTTTCTCAAGCAGCTGTAATCACCATGTCCATGAAAGGTCTCTATATTCGTAAAGCAGTATAAAAACGTGTGATAGCAGTGGTTTGTTTCCATTCAGGTAACAGCTGATAAAAAAGGAACACATTTATAAAGCCGAGAGGAGCATCTTACAGCGAATGACTCTCAGCACTATACAGTATATGATCAACATGTTTTCAATCAGCTTGAGAAAATTCATACTAAGATTATAGATGACTTTTTACATCGAGTATGATGTTAAACTGAGGATGCTGTGAAAAACAAGAAAAATACATTATTGACCTGAAACTTGGTAAACTAGAGTAAAAGAATTCCGTCTCTGTAACATATTGCAACTCCAGTGCATTAGCTCTCGTGTGCAATTTCGATGGCACAGAAAAACAACAAAGCAAGGCACCAACAATTTCTAAGAGCTGGCATACCTGATATGGGTCTAGAAGAAATCCTAGATATACGTTCCCAGTGTACTTGTTTTAAAATTGGACCGTGTCTGCAAGAGTTTGTAGATAAATGCAAACCAAAGTCTTGGTCAAATTCGTAAACTGATACCTGCAAAATGTGCGTTTCAATCAAAATATTAAAAACAAAAAGTGTTGGATCAGTGACTATGATTTTGGTCATGTTTCAGGACTAGAGCTGGGTGATACAGCTTAGGAAATATCAAATATATCCAATTTTTTTGTATATTTTACAGACATTTGGCATTATTCAATTTATATCTTGATATTTATGAATTTGGGTAACACTTTAAAATAAGGTTTGTTGATTACATTGACTACATTAGTTAACATGAACTAACAATGAAAAAGACTTCTAAGGCATTTATTAATATTAGTTCATGTTAATAGAAACATTTACTGAAACAATTAAAATCAAACGTTGTCTCTGTTCATATTAATTAATGGGCCTGAGCTAAGATGAACTAACAATGAATAGTTGTATATTTATTAATGTTAACTAAGTTGAATAAATTTTGAATGTATTGCTCTTTGCTAATTAATGTTATTTAAAGTATTACTGTTGCCAAGTATAGCAATAAACAGCAATATTTACCAATGTATTTTTACTAAATCATAATACATGAAAAAATGTCATGCATGAATATCACAGAATATTTTTGAATTAACTTAGTGAAGTCGACAATTCAAACTGATTAAAATATACTTAATGCCATTTTTTGCTACAGAGGTAAATGAGAAACACTATTAAAACATCTCTGCATTAACACTCTTCAGTCGCAGGACTTATAATTGAACTAAAACTTATCAAAACATTCTACAAACGCTGTTTGGTTTTTCTAGTACAATTTTATTTCGGAGGCTACTTAAACACATAATTTCCAAAAGTCTTTATGAATTAAATTAACTTCTCAAGATTGCGGTTTGGTACCAATCATTTTTAGCAATCTTGAATAGTTACCGTGTTCAATTTTAGGTGTGATTCCTGATGTGCTGCAACCAAAATGCAACATTGTGAAATGTAATGTAATTGTAAATGACAAATAAATGGCGCATTAAAATGGTATCTTTTTGTGAATATTAAATATACCACCCAGCCCTATGTAGGTCCAACAAATATGCTGATCCAGGATCATATCCTGCTTGCCAAAATCATGATTTCAAGGGCCCTAAGAATGAAAGTATGCAGGAAAAACTATTTGTGTGATTAGTTTATTATACTGTAACCACTCACACGGAGCATCAGCTGCATGTAGGCCACATATACAGGCTTCTGTCTCACGACTCAATCTAGCAGCAATCTGTTCTTCTCTTTATAAGTTGTTATTTATGAAAAAGAGCCTTCATTTACCTTGTCAGTAAGTACAAAAGAATAGTAAAACCACTGTATATATTCTAAAGAGCTGATGTGCACATTCATTCACTCACCTAGAGCGTATCAGAAATATTAGAAACCTGCGCAGATTCATAGGAACTAAAAACGTTTGAAGCTCATTGAAACGTAAAGACTGTGTTCTGATAAAGTCCTTGGTGTGTCAGTGGGTTTCTGTCAGATGTAGTATTGGTGGGCTGCCAGACTGTCCATGAAGGGCCGTACCAGATTGTCCGTGGAGAAGTAGAAGACCAGGCCGAAGGTGATGGAGATGGGAAGAGCCGGCAGAGCCTTCTTGAAGATGGCCAGCAGGAGGAGCGTCAGACACAGTCCCTGCAGAACAACCACGATACAACATAACATCAGCAACATCTGTTCCAAAACCTAGTGAGCTGTCTACATAGGCAACAATAAAAAGACACAAACAATTATTGTGTACATCAGTCAATGTTTAGTTAAATGAAACTATTTTTATCAATACTTTCAGTATTTAACATTTTATATTTAATAATTTATAAAAGTATAGGTATTTTAATATAATATAATATAATTAATATAATAGAAAAGTACAGGTATATTTAAACTTGTAACGATGGATGTTGGGATTTCCTTCCATTACAGATTTTACCGTTAACTAGTTAATGGCCTGTAATAGTGTGTCTACTAAATTTAGCTGTGAACTACCTACTTCCAAGTAAGTTTCTGTCCGAACTTACTAGTGAATGAGGACCTTTCTCTGTAAGGCTCATCCTTACAAAAGGTGTTATTGTAAATTAAAACTTTTAAATGCAAATGTAAAAAATGGCAGCGCATATTATCTGTTTTAAAACATTTCCATTTTAACTTTAAAGGTGAAATATCATGAAAATCGGACTTTTCCAAGTTTTAAGTGCTATAATCAGGTCCCCGGTGCATCTACCAACTAAGGAAACGTGAAAAAGATTAACCCAGTAACTTTGCTTTGGTAAGCCTTTTTCTGCGAGCGTCTGAGAAAACAACGTGGCAAAGGGATCTCATTATAATATTGCCACCCCTTAATCTGTAAGTTTACACCCACGGCGCCTTTATTGTGTTTTTGCAAGTGACAATGGTGTACCAGCTCTAATGCCATGGCAAAAGTGGATCTAAAATATGAATAGTTAATTATAACTAGTTATGGTTAATTATTCATATTTCCCATGAGCTGATTCGCTACAGGCTCATCCTTACAAAAGGTGTTATTGTAAATTAAAACTTTTAAATGCAAATGTAAAAAAATGGCAGCGCATATTATCTGTTTTAAAACATTTCCATTTTAACTTTAAAGGTGAAATATCATGAAAATCGGACTTTTCCAAGTTTTAAGTGCTATAATCAGGTCCCCGGTGCATCTACCAACTAAGGAAACGTGAAAAAGATTAACCCAGTAACTTTGCTTTGGTAAGCCTTTTTCTGCGAGCGTCTGAGAAAACAACGTGGCAAAGGGATCTCATTATAATATTGCCACCCCTTAATCTGTAAGTTTACACCCACGGCGCCTTTATTGTGTTTTTGCAAGTGACAATGGTGTACCAGCTCTAATGCCATGGCAAAATTTTGAGCAAAACATGCTAACTGTTCTATCTTTTGCTGCACAGACGAGCACAGAACACTGTTTACAGTCTCAGACTCAGAGGAGAAAAGGGAGCAGTGTATTTATTGATTTATTTACTGTATATTGCAGCTGCCACACAGATCTATAATAAACATGTGATTTATTTCCCAGCTGTTTACCTTCACAGACATAACTGTTTTTGTAACTCATGTGTGTTTTTAACGTAAACGTGTGAATGAGAATTTAGTTTAGTACTCGCATGCTGTGACAGCCGCTTTCTGTCTGTGTGCTTCTCAGAAAACCATATACCAGAAGTTTAAACTCATGTGGTTTAAAACGCATGATTTCAGCTCGATAAACATGATAATCAGAACCAAAACAGATGTTTTAAGCAGGTCCGAGCTGTAATGGCGCAGCTTTATTCTGGAAAAGGGGGCGGGGAGCAGCAGTTCATTTGAATTTAAAGAGACAGGCACGAAAAACAGCGCGTTTCTGCTTCTACTCAAAATAGGCATTTTCAAAATTATATAATAAATTATCTGTGGCGTATTTTGAGCTGAAATTTC